AAACAGCGTTTGTAAAGCGAATTTACATTTAAAATTTCATCTATAAACATTTGAAAGCTTGACTGCCAATTGTAATCGTGCAAAACTTGATTCCAATCATTTTTCATAATCTACCCACTTGTAATGAGACACAGTGTTTAATAAAATGTAATTTATTCTTACAACAAAAAATTATACAATAACTTATCGAACAGTAGGAGATATATGTACAATTTACATTAGTGCATAAGAAGGTTTTACGAGTAATATATTTACAGTAATTAGTCTTATTAGCAACTTTACAATCTAGAATCTAGATTCCAGATGAACAATTTCGAACAATAAATACAAACTTATTTGTCGACCAAAAGTGAATTGCATTTCGAATAAATAAATTCGCATTGAACCCGTACACAAAGTTTTTTCTATCCCGTTAAAATAAAATCGTTGACCATTAATTTTTATAACTTCCATATTCCTTTAAACCCACTGCGTCTAGCAGCTTTATTCGATTCAATTATATTTTAATTTATTCGCCATTATTACAAAATATAAAAGTAATTGTTAGAAATGTATAAGACCGCAACATTTTTTTTTTAACCCTCGTACGATGAATGTAGAGTTATTATGACTTACAGCTGCCGTTATATTTATTCATTTATTTAAAATATATTTATTCCGATTGCAAAATGTCTGTAATACATTTTTTATGATCAATATTTTCTTGAAATTTCCATACAGTGCAAAATAATGTTACGTTGGCAAGAATTTTCCGCGATGACAGTGAGTCCAGACAATTCCGCGCGACTAGACTTTAAATAATTTAAATAGACTTTAAATTAATAAACTCCTTCAATAACTTATTTTGTTTACTTTACGTCGACAATTATCCGAGTTCTTTCAATAACTTTTGGTCATGCATTTCACACGCATTTGTTCATGCATTCGTTTCTATCGTATTTATCTGTGTATCCAGATTGCTGCAGAGTATCTAAAGTAACGAATCTCAAATAATTCCATTATAAATCATTAACTTCAAATTAGCTTACCTATCAATTTGTAAAAGAAAGTTTCTCTTAATTAGAGTTGTTCCTTTGTCAGAGACTTGACTCTGAAAAATTTATTGTTGCCAATTTTTTGGAACGGTATGATTATTTTTCAAATTAGTCAAAGTTAAACAACTAGCGTATGATACATCGAAATGTGTAAATAGACTCTTTCGATCTTTTCTGTTTTTCTTAAGGCGCGACTGATAGCAGTTATCATATTCTACTTAATTTTTTTCTTTAAAAATATTATATAATTGATTGGAGCTGCGACTAGTTCACGATGCTCTTTATATGATAGTTTCCTTTCGTTTCGTCCTATATACAATTCGGATAAATATTATAATAATATTAGCCTGAAATTAATTTTACTATGGATTCGAATTGTAGTATAAATTATTCTTCATATTTACATACCAACGTGCAGTTAATTAATAACTATCTGATCAGGTAAGAATTACAAGTGCTGTATCATAATCAGAATTGAGCAAAATTTTATTCCAATGACGGATAAAAGATAAAGACTTAACGAGTACAATTTTATTCGCGACTCTATCGAATAAATATTCATTCGAATAAGAATTTATTCGTATGATATTAATAAAAATTATAGAATATAAAGTGCTTTCTCATAGTTTATCGATTTATTTCTTCCGTATTACTTGTTTGAATTATTCGAATAAAGAATTTCTCGAATTATTCAAATAAATAATTATTTGAATAAATAGATAGAATTATTTACAACGAATAATTCGAATAAATAATTTGTAATAAAAAAAGATTCGACTAAAAGAAATTCACTCGGATAATTATCTTAGATCAATATTTATTCGAACAATGTCCAACTCTGATTGTAAAATCCGACCTCCGTAAAAAAAGAATCGTACAAAAGTAAATCTGAGTACATTTGAAAACTTGAACTTTTACTTTCACAAACCATCATTAATTTTTTTCTATACAATTTAAATATGATGTAGTAGGTCTGGCAAATTGAAACGTTTGTAAAGATATTGGACAAACTTTTTGGGAACTGAATCAATAACGTGTTTGAAAATTGAAGAATTAAAAAGTGATATACGATTTTCTATTTTTGGCTGTTTTATGAAATGGAAATGACGGACCAGTTCGATCGTATAAAACCTTCATGTCAAATTGACAGTACACCTTTCAGACAAAACTCGATAAAATAAATAAAAATCGCATATTCAGTTTTTTAAAGGATGGTCACAAAGGTGATGCTACAATTTCAAATTGGCGATAGGATTCAGCCATGAGAAAAAATTTATAATATTTTTAGAAATGTTTCAAATTGTAGCATTTTTTAGAAAAGACCTATTCTTAGTTATCCACTCTCTGTACTCTATATGAAAATTCTTATAAAAAAAAATGAATTGCGAATTGTTAAAGTAGAGAATTCAGATATTAGAACGTGCCCAGATTTATCGTCGCACGAATCCTTTTAAAATGATAATATGACAGCTTAAATATCGACAATTTAGTATTCAAATAATCTCTGGAGTCACAGACTAAGTATTTTCATACTTGTTGCAGAACTACGTTAATAATAAAATCACCGAGAAATTAGAATGACTGTAGAAAATAGCTATTTTCAATGAAAGTTCCAATTACAAATATGTGCATCTATTTCGTTTTCAAACATCCAAAAGTATCCTCCAAAATTAAAGTAATTTTGTCAGTGAAACTAGAACATGAAAATTTATCGTAAAAATTACTGATTCATTCGAACATATGAAAAAATTAATGAATTTCTATATCCGGATAGAAATAGTGTGTCAAATGTCGGAATCAGAAATTTGTAATTGATCGTTTCAATTACAAATGTGTGCATCTATTTCGTTTTCAAACATCCAAAAGTATCCTCGAAAATTAAAGTAATTTTGTCAGTGAAACTAGAACATGAAAATTTATCGTAAAAATTACTGATTCATTCGAACATATGAAAAAATTAATGAATTTCTATATCCGGATAGAAATAGTGTGTCAAATGTCGGAATCAGAAATTTGTAATTGATCGTTTCAATTACAAATGTGTGCATCTATTTCGTTTTCAAACATCCAAAAGTATCCTCGAAAATTAAAGTAATTTTGTCAGTGAAACTAGAACATGAAAATTTATCGTAAAAATTACTGATTCATTCGAACATATGAAAAAATTAATGAATTTCTATATCCGGATAGAAATAGTGTGTCAAATGTCGGAATCAGAAATTTGTAATTGATCGTTTCAATTACAAATGTGTGCATCTATTTCGTTTTCAAACATCCAAAAGTATCCTCGAAAATTAAAGTAATTTTGTCAGTGAAACTAGAACATGAAAATTTATCGTAAAAATTACTGATTCATTCGAACATATGAAAAAATTAATGAATTTCTAAATCTGGATAGAAATAGTGTGTCAAATGTCGGAATCAGAAATTTGTAATTGATCGTTTCGGCTGCTTCGGTAGTTTCACTGTTAACAATAGTGACGTACCAAATATCAGTCGCTTTCGTTGGAAATATACGAACGGATAAACTTTCATCAACGAAATTTGAACGCACGATACATTCTGTCGTGCGGAAGGTGCGCAATCGCGTTTGGTAATACTATGACGGACAATGCTTCCTACGCATGAATTCCTTTGTAAACCAAAGATTAACGGCTGGGATCACGTACGCGTGATTTCGCTTAATTCATCGTTCGGTAACTTCGATCGATCTGACACACTCTCTCTCTCTCTCTCTCTCTCTCTCTCTCTCTCTCTCTNCTCTCTCTCTCTCTCTCTCTCTCTCTCTCTCTCTCTCTCTCTCTCTCTCTCTCTCTCTCTCTCTCTGCCCATCATGGAAATCAATCCGATAAATTGTCGTAATAATTACACCGCGTTCGTGCTTATCGTTTTATTACTCTTCCGGCACATTTCGATCGATGTAATTTATTATTAGTTGTGCCGATAATCGGTGATCGTGTCAACCGATGCGTTCATACGATCAATAATCTATCTTTTATGCCTTCTTTTTTCTTTTTAATCGACTCTAATTGGCGATCAGATTAAAAATGTTCTCGCATCGGCGATTTGAATCGTGAATAACTGATACGTTAAATAATGCGTCGCTTTATTGAACCAGCGGTTACATCATTCGACTTATGGACGACAATCTAAATAATCGATTTCTAAAGAAAGCACAACACTTTCCAAGCTCGTTACGCCCAATTGCTCGATCAGCAATGGAAGTTAATTACTAGGAGCTCTGTAACTAGATGTTGCTTTTCAAATGCACTGGGTTAAGAAGAGAACACGCGGATAATTGAAAGTTGCAGCGAAAATTGTGTCATACTGTACAGTAAAATTTAATCTTGTAGATAGTAAAAAGCAAATTACTTTTTCCTTTCGGTAGAAACAAATCGATGATCGAATAACGTCGTCGGCCGACGTCGCGAAATTGTAACTTTTCTCAGTCTGTCTCCGTTTTATATACAGGGTGTCCCAGGTTTTAATGTTCAAACTTTGTCAGTGTATTCTGTGGCACGAAGTGAGAAAAAGATGTTATGTAAACATAGGTCATATAGAGCTTTATTAAGAAGTTATAACAAAAATTCGTTCAATGAAATGAAAGAGAATAGAAACGAAATTCGCACGGTCATAAATTCGATCTTCGATCGATGTCAATCATGTATTGTCAACGACGATAGACATTTCGAAATGTATTAATAAACACAGCTTACATAAACACACGGCATGTGCTGATCTATTCAAGCCAATGCTCGCAGTAACAGCAAGTTGATTACTATTCCTATATTCTGAATTTTTGTTATAACTTCTTAATAAAGCTCTGTATGACCTATGTTTACATAACATTTTTTTCTTACTTTGTGCCATGGAATACACTGGCAAAGTTTGAACATTAAAACCTGGGACACCCTGTATATATTAATCACGGCGAACCTGGGCCAATGTTTGGCCCTTATCGATCGGATCTACGTACCCGTTAATTCTACGATTACAAAGTCTAATCTATCTTAGGATCACCAAGAGTATTAATTATTTGGCTCGACTCGCAACAGACGCCACGTCAATTCCACAAGAACCATCGGTCGATGCTTTTGAAACTTTTGCTTACGCACTTTGTTCTTCTCACAGCAGCAACGAAAATCGTATAGTTCAGCTGTGTCGTTCACAATTTTTCACCGCTAAGATTGAGCACGTTGTAATACGAATGGTCGGGGAACCTGTCCAATTCGATGTAGTCCGTTTCGTCGAGTAAGAGGCCCTCTGTCAGTCCCACCAGTTCCCCATAGGAGGGCCTGCAAGCTGGGTCCTTGTCCCAGCAATAATACAAGATGTTGTACAGCTCTCTCTTACAGTGTTCTGGCCTGTCTAGCCTGTAGCCTTCTTTGATCCTTCTCATCACCTGCAACACACGTTCGAAACGTCTATCATTCTGAACAGTCTCTTTTCGAACGATCCATGTTTCTGGTTTTGTTCGAGCAACTGCTGTTTTCCCTCCATAACGTCGCGGTTTTTATATCTGCCGCCTCATAACACAACCGATTGCGAGGCAGCAGCGAATCTTTGTGCGAAATACAAATTGACTGCATCTGTTGCAAAAGATAGGGGTAACTTAAAAGTTGCATTTTTCCTTAATAATTTTAGCAGATCGAAGGCAATATGTTGGCGTTATTAAATGTTTCTAATTTTTCTACCGTTTTATATTACAATATAAATTATTAATTACAATATATATATAATATATATAATAATATATATAATAATATATATAATATAATATAATAAATATAATAATATATATAATAATATATATATTTAATATATTTTAATATATTTTAATATAATATAATATATTAATACAATATATAGAATAATAATATAGAATTAGTATATATATATTGTAATTATATATATTATAAAATAATATATTATATTAAAATATATTAAAATAATATAATAATATATATATTATTATATATAATATTATATATATATATATATTATTCATCTTTGTCATGACAATTGAATTAGACTGCAGGATTTTTGGTCTCGTTATCACACCCAAGACCTTCGGTCAAGTTTAACAAAATGCTGATCTTCTCTGAAACAAAATGTTCCCTCTAACGAGAACGACAAACATTTCCTTCCCAGTTCTGACAAATTAGTAGTCCAAAGGGAAAAGCTTTCGATATACAACTCGAATATCAATGCTGCGTTATTATTTTCGGATTAATCAGTCGAAGAATGTATACCTCCGCAGCAGCCAATCCGGGATAAGGCGTTGACCCTAACGTAACGATCTCCCAAATCAATACGCCGAAGCTCCATATATCCGATTTCACGGAAAATATGTTATCGTACAAGCTCTCTGGCGCCATCCACCTAATGGGCAGTCGACCCTCAGACTTCCTTTCATAGATTTGATTGGCAGCCACGTCTCGGGCAAACCCGAAGTCCGCGACTTTGCACGCGCGGTTTTCGTCAATCAATATGTTCCTCGCGGCTAGATCACGGTGTATGATTCCTTTGGACGCCAAGTACTCCATACCTTTGGCTATCTGTAAATAAAAAAACGCGAATCATTTTACGTGGTCGGTCGACATCTGCGGACGAAAGCATGTGCTGTGACATCACAGTTATTGAAACAATTTTATTCAACGCCTTGTGCGTAGTTCGTTCGAGGTTATTTGTCAATAGTTCTTCGAGAAATTAAGCGGTTATTAATTCGTTCCTTGGATTTACATGCAAGTTCATGTGCAAATTTAATTACAAGCTTGTTTAATAACTGCGCGTATATAAAACACATGTTTTTCTTTTTTTGAGATATCGTCGTCCGAAGTTCTGATTATTAATTCTTATTAAATGTTGTGTTTTAAATTGCATTATTTTTTGAGCCTATTGAATACATCTTCGATCATTCTTCTTTTTTTAATAAATACGTAAATCGAATAAAGAAATATCTACAGTTACGAATAAATATCAACCGAATGTCCATGTTCTCAAAATGGAGCAGAGAGTGGAGGAACAATACGTTCAATTGCTAGGAACGAAACAGCGTTAGGGCTTTCATCATGTTTAACCGTTAAAACGTCGCCGATGTACCTGGTAAACGAAACCAGTCAGATCCCTGGACGTTAATCCAGGCCCCCCGTGGTTTCTTTCTTCCCTCGACGCTCTCAGAAAGCTTTGCAACTTTCCGCCGCTGACGTACTCTAATATAACGAACATAGGCTCGCGCTCTGTACAACAGCCCAGCAGCCTAACAACGTTAGGATGAGGATCCAGATTCTTCATGACTCTGAGCTCTTGCGCGAGATCCAGTCGTTCTCTCTCCGTCGCATTCTCTTTCAGTGTTTTCACCGCGACTATGGTCGTTCCAGACTTCCCGTCTATGTCCAGGGCCTCGCATTTCCAAACTTGTCCGAAACAACCCTCTCCGAGAATATTGAAGACCTGTCGCGATCCCAACAAGTTGCTATTTATTTTCTTTTTTCTTTTTATCGACCATCAAACTTTTCGTATTATATAATATATATAATATCATATATTATAATATATAATATTATATATTATATATTATATATTATATAATACATTATATATTATAATTATATTTTATTTATTTATACATTATATATTATAATATATTATATTATATTATTATATGCGAGATATGCGAGAATGTTGCCGATGAAAATCGTAGGTTTTTCATCGCAACGCGGTAACAATGATCCCTTAGCAAGTGGATGCGCGAAGAAGAGACTGGGAGTTTCACCTTCTTTTTTTTAATGAAATTCTACTATTCGAATATATTTCTCGCGAACACCCAGTACGTTTTAAGATCCCGGATGCCACTTAACCCTGTCACTGACCTTCAGCCGGTGTCGAGGAAATTCCCATTTATCTTCTTGTTTATTCTGTGCACCGGCTTGACTGTCTTTTTCCCAGGGTTCGTATCGATTGTTATGAGCCTTCGGGCCACGCCATCTTTTTAAAACGAGAGATGGATCGTCCGATATATTCGAAACACTCACCGAGGCTTGCTCTTTCTGCAACAAATCATAGACAGCTAAAAATAAAAAGAGAAATTAAACAGGCCATCCCTGAGAAGTTAAGAACGTAGCCAGACTGCTTTTGGTCTATTGGAATTATTTAACGATGACGCTGCGTTTCATTTGGCGTTCGTTTCGTACGATCGATTCGGAGATTTTTTTTTTATTTTGCAAAAGGAACCTCCAACTGATATTTCGAAGAAAATCGCGAACAAATTCTCTGAGAATATCGTATCCACTTTCAAGAATCGATCATTGCATTCTGTCTTGTACTTGCGTAAAGATAGTGCCAAATTTAAAGTATGCAGCCACTTTTTGGCGCAAACTCTCACGTTTGAAGAAGAACATAACTCGAATAAGATGGATTACGCGTTTCAAGAAAATGAAGGATCTTTATGAATTCGAATTATTTTCAATATGAAATCTTAATAATATTAGGTTGGCGCATACGAAATGTCGGATTTTCTTTACATTTGAACGTTTTTCTGCCTGTTTTTCGTTATGCTTTTGTTTTTCGCATAATCTAAAGATCTAAAGATCTTCTAAAAGATCATCTAAAGGTTAGAATTTCTTTAAGACAGGCATCTATGCATTAAAATCTCGTTGAGAAAAGTGTATTCAAATAAATGGAGCATATTTTGATCGAATAAACAGCTTTTGAAAGAAAGATATGCAGTTTTAACCCTTTGCACTCCGCTGTCCCCTCTCGTGGGACATCGTAATTCTAAAAACGTGGAACCATTTTTAACGGGTATTTGCTTAAGCACCGCCGGTTCATCAGCACTTACAGTATTGTAGGTACGAAGGAAATATTCGTTACAGAATGAAAATTCAGTATTGATACTCTTCACTGATAGCAACATTGAGATCCTATTGAAAATTTCCATGTCGCAATTGAAATTTAAGAACTCTCAAATGCTGACTGGTCCAGTGATTCCCGTGTTTGCTCGAGGTTACGTTTTGCTTTTGTATTTCTCCCCTTTGTGTTTGCATACTTTCTGGTTTCAATCCATCGCAATAAATGCAGGTATAAATAATGTAATTTTTATAAAATAAGAATATGAGAATGATAACTACAACAAATACTTGTTCCAATTAAGTAAAAATAGCATTAAATTCGAACTAAAGCTATGAACACGCGGATTTCAACACAGAAAATATCTGAGACCTTTCACTCACGTTAGTCACCTGGTTATTGAGCGTCAGCGTAAAATTTAACCCTTTGCACTCCGCTGTCCCCTCTCGTGGGACATCGTAATTCTAGCATATCACTCGGATGTCCCCTCTCGTGGGACATTCAAGTTTATTAGTGATTACGGGGAATTGAGTTATTTCAGCGCAACTTTTTCAGACATGCATGTTTCCCTGAAGTTTTC